GGTTTTTAGGGTTTTAGGGTTTTAGGCTCCTCAATTCCAAATTTAGGGTTGAGGGTTGAGGGTTTAGGGTTTAGGGTTTAGGGTTGAGGGTTTAGGGTTTAGGGTTTTGGGTGTAGGGTTTAGTCGGGATTTGGATCTAGGTTGCAGAATTTTGGATTGAATGGGTTCGAGGTGTGGGGTTTCGGCGCGCGGCGGGAGTGGAGAGGGGGTGTGGCCGAGTGATTCTAGTGCCGTCGAGCTTGCTTGCAGTTGAAAAAACATTCTTCATCGTGAGGACACAACGATGATGGTGGTGATGATGTCGATGTTGTCGATGATAATGATGCTGTTGATGATGAGACGATGCTGATGCAAGTACGGTTTTTGTGGCAGTGATGATGATGATGGTGGTGGCAGTGAAGATGATTTTGATGATGATCTTGTTGTTGATTGATTGTTGATTGATTGAACTGACAAAGTTGATAACCTCGTCCTGCTACCAGCTGCTAGCACCATCAATGTGAGCTGTATCATTCCCGCATGCACTGTAATATTTGGAAATGTAGCAGCTAATGGGTGCCGGCCACGGAGGGATTGTTGTGCCATGATTGCACATGAGCTTCAAGCACTAGGTCATACGCACGCACAGGACCCCAGATCAAGAGGCAGATCAGGAGAATCCGGCTACCCGAACACTTTCCCGTCCGATGAGCTGCTTGCACAAGATGCGTGGGCATCAAGAATAGAATCAGTCAGCCCGTTTGATTTTTACCGGTAGGCATTCAAGGCAAGGAGTGATCAAAAGGATGAAAGGATCGTACCGAAACATGCAGGCAACACTGCAAAGCTACAAAATGGGACAGCATGGGACAAACAACGGAAACGGTGTTCGGGAAGCCTGCCACAAGGATTACTGGAATCAGGGGCTTTGATTCTTTTTGCGTGGAAAGCATCTCCCAACAAAAGCGATTGCCAAAATGTGCAAAATCGAATTTTCGAGGGACGCAGAGGGGGAACGGGAAGCAGGATTGCAGAGTCACTCGACGCACCTGACCCTGCTCCGTCTCGCACCCTGCAAAAACCCCGACACTCCCCAACCCTCCCCCGCTCTCAGAAAGGGCGACACCAAAGCCCAAGATGTAGGCAGGGCAAGAAATGCCGAAACTCTGCCCAGATTGGCTGTTGGTGTTTGTAATGGCTGTTCTTCCTTGTGTCTGGGTCATGAGCAGTACCTGTAGCGGAGCCCGTGGAAATTATGAACGAGCTCGCAGGTGCTACGCGATGAGTGGGACAGGCCAGACCGATCCTGACTTCCCCAAGCTTAGGGGTTAGGGTTTAGGGTTTAAGGTTTAGGGTTTAGGGTTTAGGTCTCTTACGGGCCGGAGCCGTACAGGCCATAGGCCTGAGCACCTAAATCAAGCCCAAACCTAAATCCCAACGCCCTGTAACCTCAAGCCCTAAGGCATAAAAAGCCTTCGTGCTCAATCCTAAACCCTAGACTCCCAAAGCCCCCCTAAAACCCCCAATCAAGCCCTAGACCCCGAAACCCTGACCCCTCAACGCAAAACGCTCAAGCCGAAACCCTGAACAGCGGGTTTAGGGTTTAGGGTTTAGTGACCCCTCAACGCAAAATGCTCAAGCCGTGGCAGGAAAGTCATGGAAGATGGCTTATTGAGTCGGCAGCAGAACGAGGGATTGCCATGAGCCTCGGCTTCTTTCGGAGTCGCCCCCCCGGGGCGACTCCAAAAACCTCTTCCTTAAGGAATGATCTATGGTTAGTTCTCTAAATTAGGGTCCCTTTTGGGGTACCCTAAATAATAGGTGCCGTATTATAATAAGGACCCAAAAAGGGACCATAATTTTGACAACCACCCATATACCCTAACCCGTAGTTTTTGTGGATGCCCGCGAGAGTTGAAGGTTTATTCCTTGCGCCCTACTTAAGTTAAGGCGTAACAAGGATCCCCTTCAGTGTGCCGAGAGAGCCCCCATAGAGACGGTGGCTCTTGTGGCAGTTTTGCTGTGCGGCTGAGGGTATTCCTTCAAACCGTGCCTTGGCTTTGCACAAGCCGGGGCTGCGCTCTGGGAGTTTCGTCGAATGCCCTAAACCCGAAGCTTCAAACACGATGCCCTATAAGGTTTAGGGTTTAGAGTTTAAGGTTTAGGAAGGCCCTATACCCGAAACTCGACACCCCAAACCGGGAGTGAAACGAGTCAACAGAGGCGCGCGGCGCTCCTGGCGAAGAAAGTTGTCACCTCCGAGGCGGTGGTCTCCGAATTGCAATACAACTGAATTCGCGGAGTTAAGGCCTTTACGTCGCCTGACATGTTTCGCCCAAATCGGGTGGAGATTTGTCTCGTTGCTTGAGCATTGCCTTCCTTGGTGCTGTGTCACAAGGGGGCATGATGTATGTTGATGCGCAGATGTCAAGTCGGATATTTTTGCAGGCACTGAGATTCAGGGTTTTCCAGAGCATAGCCGAGCCTTTCGTGCAGCGAGTCTGAAGTGTGGCTGGTCTCCAGTGCATCAGCAGAGAGTTGTACAAAGCTTACATCATTAGTTCATGCCAGATGCAGGCATTCGCCTAAGGAGCTGGCATAGAGTCCTTCGCGTTGTAATTATAGGTTGAGCGGGGCTTTCAAGCTGCCAGAACCATGCGCAGCTTGGGCACCCAGCAATGCCGCTGTGTGGCGGTGTTTCCCTGCACCAGACCGAACAGCGACCTCTGGGCAGGATAGGTGGATCTTGGATCCAGGGTCAGCTGAGGCTGACTTTGAGTCTTTGAGCTGTCGTTCCGAATATTTCTGGATCCATGCTTGTCTGCAATGTACAGCAGCACGTCTGCAGTCTTGTCAGGGATGGGCTTTACGCTCAGTTATGCTGCGACGCCCCAGGGAAGACCTGGGCTCATACCTTGCAGCTTCGTGAAGAAGCAGTATTCTTAAAGTCTCGATGTTTTGCGGGACGGCGAGCTGCGGCGCGTAAGCTACTTCATTCGCAACCTGTGTTCGCCGTCCTGAGCGCAAATGTACCAGAACCGCGCGTGCTTGCACGGAGAGGGGCCTATGTGACCTGCCGGAGGTGTGTGCAGCTGCACAGCCCTGCTCAGCAGTGCCATGGTGCCCAGAGTTGGCACAGATCCCACCACTTGTGGATAAATCATCGGTATTGACTTGCTGTGCTGCAGCCGCCTGCAGCTGAAAAAGCTGAAGCCAACCCAAGGGCAGGGTGTCGGGGTGTTGTGTCAGCTGTCTCATGCTGCCGGCTGCTAGCTGTGAATCCGTAGCCTGCTCAAGCACAGTCATGCAGCGCACGGTGCTGGCCGCTGGCCTCGGTAAATGCAACGCAAGGCGGGCCGGAAAGAGAGGTTCGCAGAGATGCTGACAGTTGCATGAGATGTGCGAGAGGTTCCCAAACTCAGAGCAGCAGGGCATCTTGGTTGCAGATGGTTGCAGTGTAAACCGTCGACTGTCGATCCATGCAAGTAACATGACTGTCAGCAGACAGGCACATGCTTAGCACCAGTGTGACATTTGATGTGTAAACCATAAACATCGCCGTGCCATCAACCGCACTGGTGTAGTTACTTGAGACTGACCACAAAAACGAACATCGTGAAGTTGCTCCCTGTCTTAACAAAAATGACTATGAAAGTGAGCCATGACACCAGTTTTGGTGACTTTGCATTGGCATTACCAGTGTTCGTGTCACAGCGACTGCTGCTGTTGTGCCGCACCCTGCGATCCGCCCTCCAGCTCTTGTTGATATGTCTGCATCCTGCGTCTACTGCTGCTGCTGCTGCTGCTTCTGCTGTTGGTCGTCCTCCCCCCTCAGCCTGCTTCTATAGTATCACTGCTGCGCGATCCAACGATTACGACGACGATTCGGCCAAATGCAGACCAGCTGCTGCTGCGTGTGATGCAATACCCAGCTGATTCGCATGTAGGACACGTACACATCCACAGATACACTGGTACACGGATACAAGGTTACACAGATGTACATGCACGTGTAAATACATACCCTCGAGTGCTTGACCAGGTTCGTGATTTTTTTGGTCCGTTGCAAGTGTAAGGCAACCAAAACCTGCCTTATCTCCTGATCTCTTGTTCTTGTGGCGGCTTCGCCAGCAGCGTTACCTTCAGCAACATCATCATTGCCGCTACCTTTTCGTCGTCGTCATCACCATCAACACCATCATCATCATCATCATCATCATCATCTTCATCATGTTCACCACCATGGTCATGATCACTAGCCATCATCATACGAAGTGTTTTCTCATCATGTGCTTAGTCGTCGTGAACATGTTATGATGACATGCACTTTCATGCATCATATCAACATCATCAACATCATAATGATCATCGTTGCCATCTCCGCACAATGTTCGTGGTAGTAGTACCTACATGGAGGTGTATTGCGGTTTCATGTTGCTTCTATTGGTGTCGGCGTTTGCCCATGTTCTTTTCTCTGACATGTTTTTTGGGCCTGTCCGAGGCTTCTCCTCTTTGGACTCACATCCTTCGCGTTTGTGGTGCCGGCTTCGATCCGCATTTTGCAGGTTGGGGCGCCTGAATTGCTATGGGCTTTTCAGGTTGAGAGTCGGCACTCAGTGGTCCTTTTAGTGAAGATCCTGGGTTTTGGGATCCACGTTTGTGGTCTCTGGTTGTTTTGGAACTTTCTGAATCAAGATTGCAGCTATCACAGCAAGTGAAGCTACGTGCTTAGCCCTAAACTCCCTAAACTCCCTAAACCCCAGCTAGGTAGGCATTTGGGTCATTTTTTCATTGTCCCTTATTGGGCCTCAGAGGGTTTTAGTGTACGGCCGTTTTTCAATGGCTTTAAAGGCCACCCTAGTTAACAACAAAGACCGTCTTCGGGATGTCTCGCGCTCAGGTGCCCAGCAAGTTCAGACAAGGGTTTCAGACCTGCCTGGCCGGGCAGACGAAGGTTCCGATTTTCTGCTTCTTTCTGGCCTTAGAAATTGGAACCAGAAGAGGCTTGTGGGGAAGATTCTATTACAGGTAACATGGAGGCGAATCAGAGTTCCTAGGCCCTAAACGTTAAACCCCAAAACCCTAAGTCGTGAACCTGAAATTCTCGTTCCAGGAGCCTGATGGGTGCAGAACGGCTCTGAAGGCCTTTGACGGAGGATTTGATGTCTTGTCGCAGCCGCTGGGACCAGCTTCATCTCCGGGTAGGTCCACCGCTTTTTGTAACCTGCACCTTTATGAAGCGACCGTGCTTCTGATTGCATGTATGCATGCACGTGTGAATCGATGGCTAAGCCCTAAACCCACAGCCACCCTAAATCCAAAACCCGAATTCTTAAATCCCAAGCCCTAAATCCCAACCTTAAATCCTAAACCCTCAATCCTGAACCTGAAGCCCTTGCATCTTTGAGGTTCAGGGGGTCTAGTGGGGCTCCAATTCCGAGCTTTGAAGAACCCGACCCTGTCCGGAACCCTTAAACCCCCTGTCATGTGCTCCCCTCAAGGAGCTTTCCGTAGTTCCGTCAAAGAACCTCCGCTTCACCCCTAAACCCTAAACCCTAAACCCTGAACCCTGAACCCTAAACCCTAAATCCTAAACCCTAAAGCCTAAAGCCCAGGCTGCTTACGCTGAGCTTGGCGCTGTCTCCCGCGGTCATCTACGAATTCCTGCCAGGACTTTGGGCTTCTCGTAAATCCGGGGGGAGGTTTCAGGGTTTAGGGTTTAAGGCTTGGGGTTCAGGGTTGAGGGTCCGGGTTTTGAGGGGCTTTTAGGGCTTTGGGCTTTACGGCTTTTCTTCAGGGTTTTGGGTATTGGCTTTTGGCCCCTAGGACTTGTTATAACAGCTTCTATTTGGGATCGGTGCCCTAATGGGAGCCCCAGTATTGAAGCACCCGACTGTAGCATGCAGCCTTTCCGTAAAGACATCTCTAGTGGACAACCTTGAGAAAGTACAGCTTATGATGATAATGATGATTACTGTTATTATTATTATGATTATTATTGTTATTATATGATTCTTGGTTCTTAATTCTCTGGCTTACTATCAGTATTGCTCTTCTTATTATCATCATGTTTTCTATTATTACCGCTATCATGCTTATGTTCATTCGTTGATCATTATTATGATCATAATTGTTGTAGTTGCAAGTCTTATTGTTTTTGACGTTGCTAATCCTTGGGCCAGCAAAACCCTGCGTGATGGCTCCGGGCTTCTGAAAATGGTTAAGGCAAGTTCTGCTTGCAGTCTTGTGTTTATCACCCTCACTCACCGCAGTCATTCTTTTTTTTGGCTGGTGCAACCCTAAACCCTAGCTAGACCCTGAGCCCTGAACCTTAGACCCCAAACCCTAAACCTTAGGCCCCACCTTTAGTTCTGGTGAACGCCAGCACCTTCGGATCAACGCTCTCGGCTCGATCAATTCTCAGCTCCTCAAGCCCCGAAAGCCCTAGAGCCTTAACATCGGTTTAGGGTTCAGGGTTTAGGNNAGGGTTTAGGGTTTAGAAACCCAAAAAGCCCTAAAAAGCCCCCCCCAAAACCCTCAAGCTCGAGACCTTGCCAGGGTGGATGCCTCAAGGCCACGTTGCCGGTGTCGCGCTGCAAGAAGATTCCTCGGAGCTGCAGCTTCTCTCTGAGGCCCTGTGAAGCGTTGAGGTTTGGGGCTGCAGGGTTCAGGGTGTCTTGGGGCTTTAGGGTTCTCTCTTGAGGCCCGTTAAGCGTTGAGGTTTAGGGTTGTAGGGTTTAGGGGTTTCTTAGGGTTTTAGGGTTTGGGGTTTTGGGGTCTTGTGTGCTTTGGTGTTCCTCAAAGGGCTCCGTAGCATTTACGGTTTCTTCTTGGTGTTACCTTTATGGATTGAAGAGATTGCTGGGGTTCGTAAGAAAAGCATCACTATCTATTTCCGGGGTTCAAAGCACCAAACCCCGGAAGCACGTACAGCTAAACCCCCAGAGCGACTCGAAGAAACGCTTTTTGCAAACAAAGACCCGCTGAATCCGTACAGCCCTAAAGCCCTTGACCCCTCGACCCTAAACCCTCCACCCCTTGTGGCAACACTTAGAGAACCCTATGGCAACCGGTTCAGAACCCTATAGTAACCCTTTTCGAACAACCCTAAACCCTAAACTCCTAAACCCTAAACCCCTAAACGCCCTAAACCCTAAACCCCTTAACCCTAAACCCTAAACCCCTAAACCCCTAAACCCCTAAACGCCCTAAGCACCCTTTTCGAAGTACCTCGAGGACTTGAAGGATTCGAGCGTGGACTCCATCCTGGTCCGGCTTGGGCGACTGCTGGGACGGTCGGAGACCTTTCTGAGGCCCGGGGCAGGGGGCTGCTGTTTCGTTTCGAAGGGCTTTAACGGTTTAGGGTTTAGGGTTTAGGGTTTAGGATTCTGGATGCTTCTATGGGGATTTAGGGTTTTTGGCTTTGAAGGTCTTGAGGTTTTTATGGTGTGAGGTTTCAGGGTTCTGTCCGGAGCCAGAGTGGCACGAGCGCCGCCGAAGGCTCCAGAAGCCTCTTTCCTCCCTGAACTACATCGCGGCGGCGGCTTGTATGCAGGTTTATCTGATCAGCTCCGTCTTCGGCATCAAAACATCACAATAATCAAGTTATCCCTGCCATTAGTGTCACCATTACGATGGCAACAAGTATGATGATGGTGTTGTTGTGGTTGTTGTTGATAATGGTCATGTTGATGAGGATGATGAGTGCAGTCATGGGTGCCGCGGATCGAGGTGCTGAAGACACGCGCCATCTCACTTTATACCATTCTGGGAGCTTCTGGTCTTTTTCGTGAAGATGCTGTCGTTGCCGGTGTTCTGAGAGTAGTTCCCTTCCTTTCCTCCATGGTGGATGTCAAAATTATGGTCCCTTTTGGGGTACCCTAAATAATAGGTGCCGTATTATAATAAGGACCCAGAAAGGGACCATAATTTTGACAACCACCCATAAGGCGTACTGTGTTCTCCTTCCGAGGCGGTTCTTGCCTACAACCTCTTCCTGGCACCTTCAGGAGCCTGTTTAGGGTTTAGGGTTTAGGGTTTAGGGTTTAGGGTTTAGGGTTTAGGGTTTAGGCTGGACGTTCTGTCAGAGAGTGTTTCTGTTCAGTGCTTGGGTTTGCATAGCCATGGTACACCCAGAACTTTGGCGTAGGATTCCCAGAAAGTTGGTTTCGGTCGCCTCGTGTTCCCACGGTCCCTTGAACCTGTCCTAACCAGTCCTGAGCCCTTAACCCGAAACCTAATCTCAAGCCGTAAACCAGACTCCCAATCCTACGCCCCAACGCCTGAACGGCTTAAACTGAATCCCAAACCTAAACCCTACGCCCACCACCCTAAACCCTAAACCCTAAACCCTAAACCCGCGGACCACCGCAAGGCGCCCCCGCCCGGCTACCCGAGCCTCTCTTCGGCCTCTGCTCGCTTGGTCTGGGTCTTCTGATTCTGTGCCTGGACGGTTTTTCGGGGTTTCGGGCTCTTTTGGGTTTAGGGTTTAGGGATTCGGGTTTAGTTTCAGGGGTTTCGGGCTCTTTTGGGTTTAGGGTTTAGGGTTTCGGGCTCTTCTGGGTGTAGGCTTAGGGTTTAGGGGGGAACACTTGTGTTCTAATTCAGGGTAGTGGTGGTGCTAGAAGCACCTGCACGAAGAGGAGTACGGATCAGCCTTATGAGAGACTGTTGTAGGTGGCACCGCATCTCAGAAGCCAGAGTCAGAGTTCTTTGTGTTGTATCGGAAAGCATTGATGATTCGCCACTCTTTGCGAATTCTGCCTTGGATGTTTCATTCCAGCTTTGCCTTCAACAAGGTCTCGTGTGAGCTCGGCGACTGCGCGCTTTAGCACTGCCCGGAGCTTGTGGGCGGATGTAGTGAGCGCGACCAGGACCTCCACAACAAGAGATTATACCCTAAACCCTAAACCCTAAACCCTAAACCCTAAACCCTAGACCCTAAACCCTAAACCCTAAACCCTAAACCAACTGTGTTTCAAGATGCTGATCAGCTCTTGAGCTGCGGCTGCTGTGGTATTGTGGCTCTCGAAATCATATGATATCTGTGACCTGTGAAGCAGATAAACTCACGGGCATGAAAAGCTACAAGATGCTACTGGTATCTCTCTATCTAGCTATCTATCTATCAATCTATCTATCTGTCTATCTATGTAGCCATTTAGCTAGCTACATTTCGCTGCTGTCTACATGCTTACATTGTATGCATACACATCCATAAACACGCACGCACATATATATATATATATATATGTATATATATATATATACACACATATATTTACATGTATGTACACGCAGAGCACAGTAGATATGCACACACATACATACACACATCTATACACCCACATAAACACATGCATGCATACCTACATACATAC